TTTTTTTTTTTTTTGGCTTTCTTTTAGCTAGCTAGCTACACTGACCCTGATTTGTGAGCTCTGGCAGAAGAGAATATTTTATGAACACAATGCATTGGTGAGCTATTCCTATAACAACAGAACTGACCATGATGTCGGCTTCCCGTTTGGCGTAGCGCAGATTGGGATCCAGCCAGAACATGAGAGACTTGACCTGCTCCCAGTTCAGGAAGATGATGAAAACCAGGAAGAGGAAGTACAGCACACTCATGTTGTCTGTTTCAATTTTCAATTTAATTCAATCATTTTAAAATAAAATAAAAATAATTTAATTAAAGCTTAAATAATTTTGTTCTGAATTTTTGTCTTTTTTAATATGTCTGTATAGTTTTCATTCATTTTTATTTCCATTTTAGTACATCAAGTTAAAAACGAGAAATGTTTCCTTGGCAACTAGTTGAAATAAATAAGTAGAATTTTTACAAATACTTTATTTCAGCTTATTTCATGTTTATTTTAAGTCACTTTTTTTTTTTTTTGGTTTTCTTTTAGCTAGCTAGCTACACAAGATGATAAAAACCAGGAAGAGGAAGTACAGCACACTCAACCCTGCACAACCACACAAACACACACTTCAGAAACGAGAAACACACCAACCGACTAACCCAACCACTCAGATCTGCCCTTTCATCATTTATTCATGTTTAAACCATAGACTGTATAAAAACATGGACGTAGTGTCCGTGACGTCACCCGTATTACCAGGCTTCCAAAACAAGCGTCTGATCCACTCACCGAACACTATACGCCATATTGCTGGATGGGGTCTTGTGAACGGACCTGAAAAAAAGGCAAAGAGGGTTATTAGTTGACATCATAGACAATAAAAAAGTATTGACAAGTATTTTTATCGTCTCGTATGACCAAATGTAAAGGCCTGCAATGACGCGGTTTGACCAGTGTGGCGCTGTAGCGCAAGACTGTACTCAGCGCTCCCACATGCAGTCCAGTGGAAGAAGACGGCGCTTATGAACGTAAACAAATGCATCGCGTCCCAATTCACCTACTTATACTATGCCCTAAAAGTATGCACTCTTTCTGTGAAGAAAAATACATACTTTTAAGTATAGTAGGCAAGCTTTGGGACATACTACTTCGTCATAACTGCAAAAAACTACAAACATGGCGGATATGCGCGACCAAAAGACAGGTAGAGAAAGGGGTTTGAGTGATAAATAATCAATATCTAACCTGTTGAAAAATATTTATTTCATGTTATCCGCATTATATTTCATCTGCAGCAACACTGTGAATTTTTATAATGATACGTTTGGTCATTAACTTTTAAATGCACCATTATGCACCATTGTTTTTGTCATTCAAAAACAGTTTTCATTTCAGTATCATCTTGGCTTCGTCTGTGAAAAAATGTCGTTGATGAAAACTTACATTTAGACATTTAGCAGACGGTTTTATCCAAAGCGACTTACAAATGAGGACAACAGAAGCAATCAAAATCAACAAAAGAGCAATAATAAGCAAGTGCTATAACGAGTTTCAGTAAGCTTAACGCAGTACACATAGCAAGTTTTTTTTTATTATTATATAATAAATTAAAAGAAACCAGCTAGAATAGAAAAAGAATAGAGCAAGCTAGTGTTAGATACAATTGATTGCTTTTAAGCAAGCAGCTTTACCGTATTTAACGTGAAAAAACAGTTAGAATTACTATTTGATTCTCTGCTATAAAGCAGCTAACTAATGTTAGATCTTTTTATTAGTGAATGCCAACAACAACAGATTACATTTAAGTGATAGTTTGGTTTGCACAAGATTCTGTTTTAATGGTTTGACTTCATTTTAAATAATCAAAAAGCATGTCTAATCGTTTAAATTCATAAAACTTTCACAAAAATGGAACAATAAATAGGGCCCAATAGTTGTGTTGTCGGTTTTAATTTTTCATTTAGATAATTCGAAAAATAAATACATTCATTTTAAAATATTTTAATTGAATTAAAGCTTCGTTTTGTTGTGTTTTTGTCTTTTTTAATGTCTATATAGTTTTATTTCACTTTTAGATACTTTAAGTACATAAACTAAATAAATGAGAAATGTTTACTAGCATGAAAGTTAACTAGCTGAAATAAAATAAGAATCTCTCGTCATCTCATTTTGTGTGCCAAATATTAGTATCGCAAAAACAACAAAAAATTATATATATATTGTAATTATATAATAGTAATACAATTGTAATAGTAATATAATTGTTTGTCATTATCAAAAGCTGAAATGATTACCTTGTTTTATTTAGAATATGTATAACTCAATATTAAAATTATAAAAGCTGAATAATCTATCAAAGACTACTGATTAACCAGTTAAAAAATTGACTATCAACTGTTTAAAAATTGACCATCAATTGTTTAAATAATCATTAGATTAACTGATTATCAAACTAATCATTTGTTGCAGTCCTATTATGAACCTGAACACATTTGTGACCAACCATGATCATAAAACACTTATGGCCAAAAGCGCAGGACGCTGAGATCTTCAGCTTGACTTCACGACTCTTACCGTTGGGGAAGGCGAGAACGCTGATGACCAAGAAGAAGGAGATGACCAGGATGAGACCCACCCACAGGTTACTGTCAGGGTTTCCATCATCTCTGCAACGGAAACATGCGGTCACACACTGTTTCTATTCCACCACAGTTTCACAATTCACTACAGAAGATGCAGTCAGAGAATGAATACTTGTGATTACACAGCAGAAAAATAGGTTCTTGACATTTTGAAAATATAAATAATGTATTTCCTATTGACGATGCTGCTATAAGAGTCTGGAGCTGACAGCATGGGAACTACCACTTTTGTTTTCACCCAAGCAAACACATCGTTGGCTGATGATGATAATCACAAAATTTACTTATTTTATTACTGTATTTTAAAGTGTAACTGTAAGACAGACTTGATATCTGCTCTTCACTGGATTGTAAAAAGTGAGCAGTGCATACTGGACTGGAGACAGATGTGCATGCAAAAATAAAAACTTTAAATAATAAAAAAAATATATGCAAAAAAAAAAAGAAAAACAGATAAAATGTAAGAAAAATAAAACCGATAAAATTAGAATGATACAAACTGATTTAAAAAAATGATAAAAATAGAAAATAAAAAATGTTCTACTTAAACAGAAATGAGATAAAATTAGAATGATACAAACTGATAAAAAAAAAAAGATAAAAATAGAAAATAAATTTTTTTCTACTTAAACAGAAATGAGAAAGAATTCTATTTCTTTCTACTTTAACCCTATTGTCGCGGGTTGTTTTTCACGTACGCGGGTTGAAGCGACTCCAATAACGTGATAATTAGCCCATGCAATGCGAATTTTACCAGGGTAACCCTGCCAAAAAAATGTGTATTTTACCCCTTGGAAAGCGATATTTAATGGGGGACCCCCACTCGAAACAAATTGGGCTAGTTTTAAGTAGCAATTGGGCGGGTTTTGATGTGAAAACCTGGCAACCTTGATTGTGGCTGACCTCGTATGACCAAAAATGACGGTGTTGAAGCTCTTTCCGCTGTTAAAGTGCCCCTATTATGGGTAATGAAAGGTTCATACTTTGGTTTCGGGAGTCCCCAACAACAGGTTGACATGCATGCAAGGTCATGAAGGTCACTGGAGAAGTGCAGTAGCCCACTTGTTGTGCTCTATACGAGATGTACAGCCTCAACTTGTTTGTAATAGCAAATGAAAACATCAGGGCCATCCTTTGGGTGGTGCAACCGGTGTGGCCCCTGCGGCGAACGGACCGAGGGGGACCCCCCTGGAACGTGATCGCAAATGGACAAAGGGGGCTCCGCTCCCTACCTCGCAATGGGCCCCGCGTCAGCTAAGGACGGCCCTGGAAAACATATTACTTGTGAGGTTTTTCTTAAATGGGCCTAATAAAATGAGTAGGCTAAAATCAGCAACCGTGAGCAGGGGCACTGTAAGGGCCCGGGGAGGTTAGGACGATTCCAAAGGCCCGACGCGGGAAGGGGGCCCCGGAATGCGATTTCTACTGAGGGGGGCCCCCCCCCGAGTCAACATGCTGTTCAGGGGGCCCAGAAACTGTAGCAGCGCCGCTGACCGCGAATACCTATTTTATTCCATGTTTTAGATCTTATACAGTAAAAGTCAAAAGCCATTTTACTGGTTCAAAAAAAAAGTAATTTCTGTTTTGTCAATAACATGCAGCAGCCGTGAAAATAGTCATTTTTTTACCCGTCAACAAAAGTAAGAAAAATCTAGCTTAATTAGCTGTATGTAGGCCTGTCGCAATAATCAATATATCGACTTATCGTGCAATATATGGACATGACCTCAATAATTTTTGGTGACGCAATATATAAATTAAGTTTGTTGTCATTTGGAAGCGTATAGGTCTTCTTGCATTATTATGCTGTTACATTATGATTATATATTCAGTGGCATAAAATGGTCTTTAAAATGACATTAATATCGCTTATCGCAATTATTTCTGGGGCAATATATCGCACAACAAAAAGTTGTTATCGTG